TAGGCCTTTTATGATATGGTAATTGGTGTTCAAAAAAAAAAAAAAAAAAAAAATGGACTGGAAAGTCTTGATGAATGATTGTTTAAGCATCTCTCCAATTGGATTTCGTCTTTGAACTTTACTTTTGATCTCATTCTCCATAGGTGTTTCCAGCAGAGCTTCTTCTACGCATAAATGGCGACCCGCCATCTTCATTCTTCACTGAGGTATGATATAATGCTATTAGTGTCAGTTGATATGTGTTTCAGTGCTTCTAATCAGATATATATATATATATATATATATATCTCTATTGGTGTGGCATGCCTGCCATATGTTTGTGAAGGAAAATTTGTGAAAAACATGTTCATTTAAGCAACATCAATAGCATGCAATTAACAATTAAAGGCGGAATCATGCTTGTATGCACTTAAAACAAAACATTTACCCATGAAATTCAAAGCCTAGTAGATAGGTGAACCAAGACTCAACTCAAAACAAAGTGAGTTGAGAAATCAATACCTTTGTAGATTCCTCTTTGCATAAACAAAGGCTAATCACCCAAAGAGAGGGCCTTCATTCCTTGCATCTTAGATCCATGGATTTGGATGGATGAAAAGGTTTCTCCAAGTTCCCAAAATTGAGAACCTCTAATGATTCATCACCAAGGCATAATGAAGAAGAAATGAGTGACCTTGGAGGAGTTTGATTGCTAGATGATCCCTCCAAGGTGGCCGAAATTTTTAGAGAGAAAGGAGAGCTTGTGTTCTCATCCTTTCCCCAAAAATAACCCTTAGTAAATTTTAGGCTATAAAGTCCTTTATATAGTCCCTTCAAATAAGTGACCTAATGGACCAAAAGCCCTATTTTTTTACACATGGCCGGCCTATAGGTTTATTGGGCTTTCAAGCCCTTTGTTTTATTCAAGTTGTCATACAACTTGAGTTAATGGGCTTGACATTCAAATCCCATTGGGCCTTGCGGCCCAAAACTAACCCGAGGTCTTTAACGAACTTATTCGTTTGATTAATTAACATATTAATTAATCATAGCCTTAGATAAATAATTAAACCATTTAATTATTCTTACTCATCTCCGTTGTTTCTTCAAACTCTACCTTACTCGGTGAACGATCCATTAGGTTCCTTTTAGCGAGGCAGTGGGCGATTAAAACTCTTTCTAATCGATTGTGAATTGAAACTTACTTTCAATTCTCCCGTTAGTGATAATACACTTTTAGGGCTTCCACAAACCATGGTTGACGCCTAGCAGCATGTCATGGTTACCCAAGCTAATCAGAAGAGGTGGAGAACCTATTCAGTTTAGGATTACAAATGCAATACGGTCTTTCTCTAATACAATACTCTTGACCACATTGTTTGGTTTGATAGTTTATTCATGTCTACTATCCAATGTGAATCTTGTACTTATATGATTACCTTGAATGTGATCTGGAACGCATTCCAACATCTCATTCATACTCTGGCCAGAGATTCTAAATCATATCATAGAGTATTCTCCCTCAAACAGTTTGAAGGTTAGAGATCCCTTGTTGCGCATTCACTTGCCTCCATGGCTAAGTGGCTTAACCCCAACGATGCCATGGACACCCTCATGATGGAGTGACTTTCACATAATCAAAGATTAAGGACCTAACCACAAGACAACTGTGATGCCTCAGGTCAAAAGACTAATTTGCATTATCCCAACCATGAGTTCTCATGTGACATGAATATGAAAACTCTTCGTTGATCGTGTTCAGTGAACTCATTCTCTATTGAGCACCTACGTACTTGTCTTGATGTCACACACACCAATGACTCGAGACTAGTCACTCTCCCTGAGAGAAGACATAGCACGTACTGATCTTAACGGACTGTTAATGCCCAATTGACAATCCTATGATCAGGAACGTTTAGGATGTGTCAACGAAAGAATGGTCTCATGAATCTAACTTCTTTAGATCGCATTCTTCCAATCACATATTCCTTAGACTTATCGTTTAAGCATATAACATTTATATGAGACAGCTCAAACAATAATGTTTGCCCTTAATATTAAACTAGATTAGTTTAACATGTGAAATGTCCATAAAGTATCATCATATGATTGGTTTTAGGGCACATTTCCAACAGTTTGATGAAATGTCTCCGAGGAAATCGCATTTGGAAATTGAACTCTCACTGGATGAGACTAAAAAGTTCAAAACATAATCGAAACAAACAATCCTGTCACTCAAACTTCAGGGAAATTTTAAACATGGTTTAAGAAACACTTCATCAAACACTTCATTAAACATGGCTACTTCCTTGATGCTCTTGGTGATACGAGAAACACCCTCCTTCTCTGTATCCAACTTAGTTGCAGGGCTGCCCTTGGTTTTCAGCACTGCTAGTCAGCAGGGTTGCTTGCTCGCGAGCCATATCTTCTTTTTCTCCGTCCTCATTGGAAGCTGTTGCATTTGAATTTGGGGAAGTGGCTTCCAGTTTCTGCCCAGCTAGATGTTCTAGGTACCAGGTGAATTGTGAATGATCCATGGGGCAATCAGAGTAGATCGACCTGGATGCAAAGTCCGAGCTTGTCATCCGATTAGTTTGATCTTCTATCCTCTGGTGCTCTGACATATGAGCATCCAGGTTTTCAGAGAACACAAATTCACACAGGCATTTAGTACATGTGTAGAGAGCATATTTGCTCTTGTTCAAATGCCTTTTTGTCCCTATTCTGGCAGTTAGGCTCAGATTGGAACCCACATTTTTCGCCTGCTGAGCAGCTGGGAGATTAACCATAGGATGGCTCACTTTGTAGCTTCTTACTTCCGACAAGTCTGATCTCTCCATATAAAGATGAGCTTCATTCCAAGTGAAAAAGGACAAGTTTGAGTCAGGAAAAGACGCACTTACTGGTGTACGACCAAACTCCTTATTGCCTCTAAACTCAATTGCATTGAGATTGATAAGATCTCTGGGCTGGTTATGAGAAGAGGTATTATAACAACAGAATTGAGAAACCTTAGAAGCTGCAAAATAAACGAATCCATTGAATGTTATTAAACTATTGAGTATTAAGTAACTTTCATTCATCAATTTTTTTTTAAACAAAAAATTGGATCCATAAAGTATACCAAACACACCCTACGGGATCATTTAGTTTAAATACCAATTCTACAGAACCTTTAGCCAAAATAGTATATTTTAGTTTAGGTACCATTTGAAGAGTCAACCAAAACAATTCTCATTATAATACTATAATTCAAATTTTTTTGCCGACCAGCCGATCAAATTTTCTTTTCTCAAGGTCACTGTCCAATGGTGACTTTCAAAAAAAATATGTAAAGTGATGAATATTCTCACAATTTTATAGTGTATACATGGGAAAAAAAACAATAAACTCAGATAAAAAAAAAAAAACATAATTGAATTTTTTGTCATTGTTGAACAATGACTTGAAAAGTTTTGGCAACCAGAATAATTGTTCAGCACAAATGCAATGGCCTACACTGGCGCTGGTGGCACGTGAGCCGTGTGCAAAAGGGACAAAAACTATCTCTTGGGCCACAAATTATGGCTTAATCCAAATGAAATGGGTTGGACTTAATAATTTTCCTTAAAATTGATAGATTCCGTTAACACCTATATTAAAATTGGTATTTATTTCACTTCAAAAACAAAATTGGTACTTAATCTGAATTTGCTTGGTTTTTAATTTATGTATAAAAATAATTAAAATAAATAAATTCTCTAAGCGACAAAGAAGTTGAAAGCGAAATCTCTGAAAAATGCAATTCGACTGAAATTACGTGGAGAAAACGATGGCTGCATAAACCGAAAGGTTATTCTCATTCTTTTGAAGGCTAATAGTATGTGACAGATGTGCATTAAGTTGATTTCTTTTGGATGCTGCAACAAATTGACTCAGGGTAAGTTGGCCCATGCCAACTTGCATTAGCTGCTTTTCAGAGGGTCGATGGTCATTTGATCCTGAAGATCGAGAAAGTAGTCACCGTTGTGGTAACTCTTTTGGATAAGGCTTTGGGCCGTTACTGATGGTGTCCGAGTCCAACCCACCCCATTCCCTGTACGGACTTCCTGCCCATGGTCATGATGGTGGTTTCTTGACAATGAATGAAGGGGCACTGCTGCCCTCTCTGCACAAGGAGGGGAGAAATGTTATGCCCATAATCTTATCCTAATTTCAGTATGCTTGCTGATCCTCAGTATGTTATACATGCTTCATCCTACCAAATGGATTCTATAACTAATTTTTCTCTTACTACTAAGCCTTCAATAGTTAAATTTTTCTTTGCCCGGGAGTCCCTCTTTCGCTCATACAATAAACTCAATGTCGGTGTCTGCAGAAGAGGTGAGAGTCATATCAGTGCTGTTGGTCTCGTTTGTGATAGTAACGAAGGATGGACCGCAGGGGTTTGCTGGTAATCTTGGCATGGGAGAGGTACTAACTGAAAATGCTGAGGGTTTGTTTTATAGCCTCCATTTAGCCGGGAATAAGGTTATTAAGAAGCTGAAAAATGAAATAGCTTCAGCTATATATAGAAGTTACTTTGATGATCAAAGTTTACAAGTAGAAAAAAGAAATAATGTAAATATTGATTGTGAATTTGTGAAGAGACATCTAATAATTGGTAAAGAAGCCAAAATGAAATCCACCTCACAATTTTTCTGCAGTTACTTCGAAAGATTTCCACTTTTGTTTTTGGTCAATAGAGTTTCACTTTTGTTTTTGGTCAATAGATTTCCACTTTTCTTTATGGTCACTAGTTTTTCACTTTTAATTTACAATGAAGTTTTATTTTCTTTTTATTATGTTCAAAATTAGTTTCACTGGTATGGCTCGACGGTTTACTTCACATTGGGAGTGAATGATTACAATCTAAAACACGTAGTTTCTTCTATAAATCCAGTTTCCAGGTAAAGAAAAGGAAAAAAACATGGTTTACACAATCAATTGAAATGTTGATGCCTGTAAAAGAATAGTAAGCAAAAACATTATATAAGCGACAACAATAACTTCTTCTTTTTTTTTCTCCTTTTGGCAGTTCAAGACATGAATGCAGGAGTTTAAAGAAGACAATATTTTTGCTATGGCACTGGCTGGTTCACTTTTCATACCTTGCCTTATAACCCATACAGAGTAAGAGCCTCGGCCTGAATTGTACTAGCGGCGTCTTGGTGAGTTGATTAGATATCCTCTTCTCGGCTTTGCAGCTGGTTAATCTCCCTGACTTGAAGCTCAGTCTCCTTAGAAATGTTGGCTTTTTCAATATTTCGGAAGTTTGATCTTTTCCCTTTTTGTCTTCATCATCTGCCTTCCCAAATGACACACTCAATAAAAGCCTTCCAATTTTCTGCCGCTTGGTTTGCTTTGTACATGGACCCCCACTTTCTTGAGCAATGTTATTCTTAGGCATCCTCGTCTCCAATTTGGGGTCACTGCATCTCTCGGAATGATCCATTCGGATTAGTCGAACTTGTCTTGCAAACTCCAGTCCTCTGGGCAGAGCCAGCCTTTTTGGACTTTGTAGCAGACTTGGGGAGTTCACAAAAGGTGAGGAAATTGGTGTTGGCAGGCCAGTTTGTTTATTCTGTTGGTCTTTCAGGTCAGACATGTCACGAGCCTGTGTCTTTGCTTTTCCTATCTTTTCCTCCTTCGTGACATGCTGCAGAGCCACCATGAATGGATCAAAATCATCATTCCACAACGTCCTATGCGAAAACGGCATTTTGATCCCAAAACTCGGTGACCCTGGGGTAGATGGGGTTGGGCTTCGGTTCGTATATCTTTGTTGACCAAGACGGGGTGGAAGTTTGAGTGGAGGTGCAAGCGGGATAACTTTTCCGCCGCAGAAAAGGTCGTCAGCAAATGCCATGGTTTGCATTTGTTCGTGCTGCTTGTGCTGAAACAAGTCTTTCACCTTCTGGCTAGTCACATTACCAACCGAACCAAGATTGAAACTGCAACTGGTGTCGAATTCAAAGTCGTTGAGGTCGGAATTGGCATCGTGATATGGTGTCATGGGTGGTGTTGGATAGTCATCAGAAGTTGATGAAATGCTCCTTTCCCTAGGACTAGTTGGGACACTAAAGAAGCAAACATTGTTGTTATTGGCAGAGCTGCAATATCTACCAGGACTAGCGGGTGCACTAACATAGGTGCAGAAATCATCTGGGATTTCCATTTCCATTTGAGAGAGAGAGAGAGAGAGAGAGAGAGATTAATAGGATTGTATAGGATCGCCTGAATGAGTGAGTCATATTTATATATCTTAGGATTCATTCCATTTCCCAAACTAATCTTCAAACATAAAATAAAATCTTGCTTGTTTGTCTTTTGTTATTGTGAATTACAATTAGGGGGTCAAATTAGAATCTTCTTGTGAGAATTGCGAGCATAATTTTGTTTCTTTCTAATCAAACCTCCCACCCTCCCTAATCCAAACATTTGTCTTTATTATATTTTCTAGCAGCAGCTTTGGTTTTCTTGAAGAAATGTTTAGTTTTTTTTTTTTTTTTTTTTTAATCAAGCAATGGATTTGTTAAATTAGAGAACCGACAAAATTCGAACACATGCCGTGGTGTAAGAGCAACACTCATTTTCACTACTGTGGTAGAGGGTCACTTGCGAAGAAATATTTAGTAGTATTGTTAAATAGTATGTTGTGTAAAACAGTCAGAAATGTGAATCAAGTGCCGCAACTGATGTGAGAATTACTTGACACTCAAATTAAACCCTCGTTTGACAATTGTAGTAGAATGGATAAGTGAGGGATCGTTCTAAACCGGGGATTAGGAGGGCTTGCTAAAACCTTCTAAATTGACTTAAAAACACAAAAACTAAATTAAAACAGATTTAAGACACTTGGGAACAAGGAAATAAAAAAAAAAGGGGTTTTAGTTTTGACGAAGTTGAAATAAACAAACAAAATGCAAAAATGGACAGATTGTAAACAAGTGTTGTGAAACAAGATGGTTGGTGAATTAGCTAGAGGTTCTTTCTCCACACATGATATTTATGCATATGAATCAATTTCCAGTTATTCCTTCATTGAATTATGAACGACAATGCCCCAAATTAACCGTGACATCACTAGTTAACCCTCAGATTTTCCTTATATTATTGGATTGGATGGCATCATTCGACAACCCAAAACATTCTCAAAAGTTCCCTACATGTCATCATAATAGAGATACAATCGAAGATCATTAAGAATAATGAAAACCATAAGCATTGACAAAGCATTTGCAACTATGACATCATGTTACTCATGCTAAGAATTGAACTTAACGCGATCGTGACAAGCGACCTTCACTACTTTCAAGTATAAGTTAGTAACGATTATGTGAAACCTTCTTAAACTTTAGCCACATATTCATGCATGCTAATTAAGTGTCGACCCTCAATCAACAAACACAAATAAGTTAATCATCAAATAGTTAAGCCAATTGCATTCACGAATCAAGAGTTCATAACCGGAATTCATCAATTCATATTACATAAATAATCATGGTATTGAAATCACCCCTAGCCAAAAAGGGTTTAGTTCCTTATAACTTTGAAATCAAAGAAACACCTAAACATTCCAACAACTCAAACTTGAATTGTATGAACGTTTAGGCACTCTTCTCTTCCATTCCTCATATTACAAAACAAAGAGAATTGAAATTATAACTTTGAAATCAAAGAAACGCGTAAACATTCCAACAACTCCAACGTGAATTGTATGAACGTTTAGGCCCTCTTATCTTCCTCTTTATTGTGGCACAAGGACTAAGGGATGTTGTTGGTGTGTTGAATGGATTGGGGGATTATGGAAATGGATGAGGAGTGGTGGAGAAAATGGTGCAGAAAATGGAGAGACACTCACGGCTAAGGAAGAAAATGGAAGTGTTTGTGGTGTGTTGTGTTGTGAATGAGATGATATGTGAATGAATGAATGCAAGGGTATTTATAGGAGGAGTGGAGATGTATATGGCTGTTTGTTTAAGGTGTTTGTGGCTGCAATGATGAAGAATTGCATGTGGAAATAAAAGGGAAAGCTGGAAATGCATTGAAAGCCCACGACAAAGGCTTGTTTGTTTGATGATGATGCATGTGATGGGTGGGAACAAAGGGGGAAACATGGCACAAGGGTGCTTGAGTGAATGATTGAATGTGCATGTGGATTAAAGAATGAGTGGTGGTGTAATGATGAAGTGAATGCATGTGGAATTGCAAGGAGGAAAGCTGAAATTGTGATGGAGAGTGCACGGCATTGGGTAATGTTGTGTGATTTGTTTTGTGGTTAATGGGAATGTGGTTGAATGATTAAATGGACATGTGGGGTGTAATTGCAAAGGGAATGCAAAGTGAATGAATAATGAATGCATGTGAGTTAAAGAGGGAGAATGTGGTGAAATGATGAAGTAGGAAGGTGGAAATGCATGTGAGATGTTGGAAAGGAATTGGGAAGCTCACGGCAAAGGAGATAGAAAAGGGTTGAGTGGTGTGTGTAATTGCATGTGTTGAATTGGAATGTGGTTGAATTAAAGAATGGGAGTGCATGTGCAAGGTTGTTGTTGTGATAAGTGATAAGTGATAGGTGTATGGTTATGATAAGGAGATGAGTGTATGGTTATGATAAGGAGATGAATGAATGATATGTGGTGATGATAAGTGATGATAGGTGGTTTTGATAAGTGATAAGTGAATGGAAGTGAATGACATGATAAGCGAATGATATGTTAAGTGAATGATATGATAAGTGAATGGTTTGATAAGTGATAAATGAATGATATGTGGTGAGTGATAAGTGAATGGAAATGATAAGTGATAATAAGGCTAGTTTAAAAGGCTAGGGTTTAAGTACATAGAATGGGCCTAAAATAGGTTGGTTTGCATGGCATAATATGTTTGATTGGGCTAGAGGTTTTCCATGGCTCAAAGGATTTGTTTGATTGGGCTAGGCCCTTTGTTTGATGTCCCCAAAGAGCATACAAGGCTTCAATTTCGTCCATCCTCTTTGCTCCATGATTAAGCTATCCAATCCATGCCCAAAAGTGCCCCAAATAGCCTCAAAATGTACTTTCTTGCTCCCTAAGCCCTTAGAACCTGAAAACACACAAAAGAAGCATAAAGGACTAAAATAACTATGAATTACCAACATAGATGCACGAAAACAAGCTAAGTAAGTCGCCTAAATATGCTCCTATCAAACTCCCCCACACTTAACTTTTGCTAGTCCTCGAGCAAAACAGAATAAAAACAAATAAACAAAACGACACTAAACACGTAAAACACAACCTAAACCTTCCAACACCCGTCTTAGGGATTTCCAATGCACATGACATGTTAGAAATCATCATTCTCACAGATTTTAGTCATCTTCACACTTAAGTACATTCTTAATCATAGTCACCATATACTAGTTCACATTTAAGCATTTAAAACCATGTTTTGAATGTAGTAACATGCCTTAGAGAATTTGCTCAATTCCTTACAAGATATGCACTCGATTTTCACTCAGAATTTCTAACTACACATCCTAATCTAGTCATATGTGAGAAGATTGATGTAAACATGAAAATGAACACTCACATATATGAAGGAAGATTTGTGAAAAACATGTTCATTTAAGCAACATCAATAGCATGCAATTAACAATTAAAGGCGGAATCATGCTTGTATGCACTTAAAAACAAAACATTTACCCATGAAATTCAAAGCCTAGTAGATAGGTGAACCAAGACTCAACTCAAAACAAAGTGAGTTGAGAAATCAATACCTTTGTAGATTCCTCTTTGCATAAGCAAAGGCTAATCACCCAAAGAGAGGGCCTTCATTCCTTGCATCTTAGATCCATGGATTTGGATGGATGAAAAAAGTTTCTCCAAGTTCCCAAAATTGAGAACCTCTAATGATTCATCACCAAGGCATAATGAAGAAGAAATGAGTGACCTTGGAGGAGTTTGATTGTGATGCGAGATTTATACGCACACAAATTAAACCCTCTTTTTCGTCAATTGTAGTAAGTATGTAAGTAGGGATCGTTCTGGACCGGGGATTAGGAGGGATTGCTAAAACCTTGGAAACTGACTCAAAAACGTAAAAACAAGATAAAACACTAAACTAGACTCAAAGAATGTGATACTAAACGTTAAAACACTAAGACAAACCAAAAGACTCAAAATGCTTTAAAAACACAAACTAAATTGATTTCTAACTAAATTGAACAATAAAGTAAAGGGGGATTGGATTTGGACGACTTTAAACTAAAAATGGAAACTTGGAAATAAAACAAATTGTAATTATGGATTTGACGGAAATGAATGGATGGGAAGCTAGCTAAGGGGTTCATCTCCACATATGTTATACTTGCATACAAAACGATGTCTAATTGCTTTTCAATAAACCATGAATTCTCAACGCCCCGGGTTTATTAGGTCCGCTTAAATTAACCGTCAAGTTTTCCTTAAATTAATGAATTGGATGATTGCATACGACAATCCAAAGCATTCCTCACAAGTTCCCTACATCAATTGCATAATAGAGATACAAGCAAGAATCATTAAGCATCATGAAAACTATAAGTGTTGACGAGGCATTCGTTACTATGATTGCATGAAACTTATGCCAAGAATATGTTTAACACGATTGTTTATAAGCAACCTCCACTACTTGTGAATATAAGTTCATAACTATTACGTGAAACTCACTTATATTCTAGCGTCAAATTCATGCATGAAAATTAAGCGTTCATTCTTAATAAACATACATAAATAGGTTATCAATTAAACAGTTAAACAAATTGAATTCACAACTTATGAAACGTAATTAAAAGTAATCAAATCATATTACAAACATAAACATAGTTTCGAATCACCCCCTAGCTAAAGGGGGTTTAGTTCCTCATAACTTTGAAATCAAAGAAACACCTAAACATTCCAACAACTCAAAACTTGAATTGTATGAACGTTTAAGCACCCTTCTCTTCCATTCCTTATATGTACAAAACAAAGAGAATTAAAATGAAACTTTGAAATCAAAGAAACACCTAAACATTCCAACAACTCAAAACTTGAATTGTATGAACGTTTAGGCACTCTTCTCTTCCTCGTTGTTGTAGCACAAGGTTTAAGGATAGGTTGGTTGATGGGATGGAAGTGTGGAATGGAGTGGAAATGGAGAAGATGGAGAAGGGGAAGTGTTTGTGTATTACAATGGAAAATGAGATGATTTGGTGAATGAAATGAATGGGTATTTATAGGAAGAGAATGGGTGTTAATGGATGTTTGTTTAAGGTATTTGGTGGATGGGAAAAGGTGTGGATGGTGGGAATTATGGTGGATGGATGGTTTAGTGGATGTAATTTAGGGTTTATTTAGGTGAATGTGGATGCATGATTTAGTGGATGTAAAGGATAATGGGATGGTGTGGAATTAAAAGCTAAAAAAAATGGGATAATGGGCATTTAAGTGTGAATGGAATGGTGGGATGCACTAATGGAAATTATGGAATGGAATGGTGGGATGCACTAATGGAAATTATGGAATGGAATGGTGGGATGCACTAATTAGGAGGAAGAATTAGGGTGAAGGGCTTAATGCATGGATTTGGGCCTAAAATGCCTCCCCTTGCATGGCAAGGGAAAGGACTTGGGCTAAAGCCCAAGGCAATGGCTCTAAAATGGGCTAAGGTTAGGGTTTAGGTCATCTAAAAGCCCAAAGCCAAGAATAGAAACTCACGACAATGGAAACCTCCAAGAATAGATACTTCTAACTTTAGAAACTTTGGTTACCAATTCCGACTTCCTTGCTCTTCACTTTCATTTC